AGCACGGGCCTAAAGCCAGGACGCAGGCCTCTGCCCCCCATTGCCCTTCACGCTCCCCCCAGCACCCCTCCCCTAGCCCGTACCAATGTTTGTGGTTTGTGCCCTGTGACCTGCTGGAGTGGGCTGGGACCCCACTTGGCCCCACGCGAACTGGACTGGGTCCCTTTGTTCAGGTGTTAGGTTGGAAATACTGAAGGAATGAGTCCGCTGGCCCTGGGAGGGCAGGGGGTGGAGACAAGTCAGGACACGCGCTCCCGCAGTTATGTTGGAGGAGAGCGAGCGAGCAGGCATGTGTGAGGAAGCACACGGGTTGAGGAGGATTCAAACCTCCACTGACCTGTGCCTGGGCCCCCAAGATTGGTGCCATGGTGCTGATTTCAGGTGTCGCAAATTATATATAGACAGGGGCCCTACAAAAAATGTTGGCCTGGGCCTGGGTCTGGGACTCAACTTACTCATCTGTAAAATGGAGTAACTACAGAACCGTAGAGGGATGTAGGTTTGTCAGGAGTGGTCATTAATAAACAATGAAAAGGTATTAAATATCAAAAGAAAAAGTAAAGAAACAAATCGCTGCCATGCCCCACCCCACCCCCAACACACTGCTCACTCTTACTTGCTGTAGTTCTGTGGAGGAGAGATTTTACTTGCCCCTTTCCCAGATTAGGGGATTGAGGCTCAGAGCCAGGAGGCAATCCAAGGGCGGCGTGGCTCGGTGGGGCCATCCTTCCTGCAGGCTGGGGCTTGTGGAGTCTCAGAGGACACCTAAGGGCCCTGCCCTGGGGGACAGGGGAGGATGACGCAGCTCTTCTCTTTGGTATCTTCAAAGATCTGCCCTTTAACTGCTGTTCTGGAGCTCCACCACAGTGTGTCTAGATGTGCTAGTTATTTTTATTTATCTTGCTCAGTACTCAGTATTCAGAGTGCACTCTCAGAGTTCAGGATCTCCTTCAATGCTTGAAAGTTCTGAGGCACTACCTCCTCAAATAGGGCTTCACTACTGCTCTTTTGTTTTCTAAAGACTTATTTATTTGTTTAGAGAGGGGTGGGGGCAGGGGCAGAGGGAGAGGGAGAGAGAGAATCCCAAGCAGACTCCCTGCTGAACAGGGAGCCAGACACGGAGCTCGATCACATCACTCTGAGATCTTGACCTGAGCCGAAACCAATTTAAAGATTTTTATTTATTGAGAGAGAGAGAGAGAGAGAGAGAGAGCGTGCGAGAGAGAATGAGCACGGGGAGGGGCAGAGGCAGAGGGAGAGGGAGAAGCAGGCTCCCCGCTGAGCAGGGAGCCCGATGCGAGACTCGAGCCCAGAACCCTGAGATCATGACCCGAGCCGAAGGCAGATGCTTAACCAACTGAGCTGGGTGCGCTCTGCTGCTCTTGCTGACGCTTTTCTGGAATGTCCTTTAGTATATGTTGGAATTATCCGCCTTGCATTCATGTCACTTAAATGTGTTTTCATAATTCTTTATTTGCTCTCTGTTTACTGCTTGGATGGATTTCTCGGAGTGGGCCTATCTTCGGCCTTTGAGTCATGAGATGAGGCAATGCTGAAGACTGGGGTGAAGGAGGGGAGCTGGAGGAGGAAGGTCTGAAACGAGGACAGGAACAGACGAGCTATACTGGAGAACAGCAGAATGCTGGGAGAATGTACGAACTGTAATCTCTTTGAGGGTAAGGGCACGGGTTTCGCATTCAAATCGGAGCTCCACTCTTCACTGGCTCTGTGGCCTCGGGCCAGTTACTTACCCCGTGTCTTACTTTTCCTTTCTACAAAGTGGGAGTGTTAATAACACCTGCCTGCCTCTGAAGATTGCTGAAGGAATTAAGTGGCATAATATATGTTGTGTTAGTTGGTCCCTGGCTGTATAAACACTGTGAAATTACTGTCCCTGCGGTTGAACGAATTGTAATTCCAAGCCCCGCCCCCCACACCGCTGCCCCGCCCCCAGCAATTGGGGATGTAGTTACTGTAACCACCACTAGGGGGTCAGGCTTCGGCGCCTCGCGCGCACCCAAGCCCGCTTATTCTCGGGTGGGAGATGGGGCCAAGGGGACGTCTCCCAGAACCCAAACGTTCAGCTTTGGCACTCCCACCTTTTCCTTCCCTACCCTAATCCGATACGCGCCCCCTCCACTGGAGACCTCTGGCCCCTCTTCTGGGAGGGAGAGGTGTTCTGTCTCCTAGAAGTAGACCTGAAACAGGGAGGAGCCGGAACCCCAGGCAGTGGGGCTTGGCACTGAGCAAACCCCAGGAAGATTTCACTCCTTCTCCCGAGGAGTTTCAGGACCCCGCTGGTCCACAGACAGTCCTTCCCTCCCCCGCCCTTAGAAGGGCGCAGATTCTGGCTAAAGGAGCTCCCTCCCTCCCTGTCCACCAGAGGTCATTGTGTCCAGAGGACCGAGGCTGTCCCCAAACTGCCCAGTGCACTTTCTGGGCACACACTAACCGAGGCCCGGGCAAACATTCCGATGGCTAACCCTGCACCGTTGGTGTGCTTGCCCTCATTCACTCATGCGTTCATGCAGCCTTGGCTGCATCCAGTGGAGTTGAGGTGAGCTCCACCCAGCAATTTCACACAGAGGTATGGCTCCCAAACGTGGTGGGATTGGCCCCTGAAGGCATTGGACATCTGAGGGTATTTCCATTTGTCAGAATGATAGAGGAGGGACAGGCCTTTAGTGGGTAGGGCCCCGGGATACTTGATATCTTGCAACAAGCCATAAGGCACGGTCCCACAATTTCACCCCAAACACATTGTATTCTTTCTTGTTTTTAATAGACACTGAATTTTCCTAGCATGCAATGTACTAGATAAATAGATGGAAGAGTTTACTTGGTTCTCTGAGGAACTTACCAAGAGTTATCCATTCACTATTTCAGAACCTGGGGTCACAAACAAGAAGATAACAAATTGCAGAAGGATGCCTGTACAGTGTTAGCCTACTGTAAAATGTACCTTATTTCCAGGTACACAAATAGTAAAGGTATGAAAACACTCAAAGAAATAATAAACATAAAAATCAGGATAGTGGGTATTTCTGGAGAAGGATGCCTTTTGATGACTTTTTTTTAAGTTGTATTTATTTTATTTATTTATTTTTAAAGATTTTATTTATTTATTTGACAGAGAGAGACAGTGAGAGAGGGAACACAAGCAGGGGGAGTGGGAGAGAGAAGCAGGCTTCCCGCGGAGCAGGGAGCCCGATGTGGGGCTTGATCCCAGGACCCTGGCTTCATGACCTGAGCCAAAGGCAGACGCTTAACGACTGAGCCACCCAGGTGCCTCTGTATTTATTTATTTGAGAGAGAGAGAGAGAGAGAGAGAGAGCGGGGAGGGGCAGAGGGAGAGGGAGAGAGAAACTTTAACAGACTCCTCGCTGAGCTCGGAGCCCGGCAGGATCCTACAACCTTGAGATCAAGACCTGAGCCTAAACCAAGACTCAGATTCTTACCCGACTGCGCCACCCAGGGGCCCCTGATGACTTCTTTCTTTAGAGAAAAAAAAGTCAACCTGACATTAAAAATGGCAAAATGTTAAGATTTAACAAAGCTGGGTAATGGGTGTGTTATTATTCCTTCTATTACTCTCCAGACTTCTCTATGCTCAAACTTACCGCAAAAGGGAAGAGTTTCGACAAAAACCCAAGGCAGGAGGATGGAAGCGGGCAGGTGGACACTGGATCGGCACATGCCTTGCAGCTTTCCCACACTGAGCAGCTACTCGAAGCTTTTAAGTTTGCACATTGTTGAGATTTTCTTAAAATCAAGACGGCATCCTTAGCCCTGCTCCTTCTACTGTCATCGTTTTATTCTGAGCCATTCTCCTAGCATTTTGTCACCAACCAACAGTCATATGTGGCTTAAGAGCTCACCTATTTCAAGGTTCCTTTTAGCAGTGCACTATTAAAGATGACTCGCTCAAAGACCAGGCTCTGCAGTGGTGAGGTTTGCCAGCCTGGAGTTTGCATGTGTAGATAGCTCTTTGGGGCAGGGATTCTTCTTGGGCACAAATACATCGTATGAGCCATGGCAGGCCTGACCTCCTTATAATGAAAATCCTGGGTGAGAACTGAGACATGGGGCTGGGATAGGGGAATGGAGGTTAAAGTTGAAGAAATCTGATCCACCTGTTCATTTTTACCAATTCTTTTAGTGAGGCTGTGGCTTGTTGTTTTTCATGTATACTCTGCAGAAAACGCCTGAAATTGCTGCTTGTGTTTTGAATCTCCCCCACATCACCTAGGTGCATTGTCTGTGGGCTCTGGCCCTGGTGCTGTAATGGCAAATACAAATTAAACTATGGACTTCAGTTGATAATGATTTGTCAGTGTTTATTCATAGTTGTAACAAATATAACACCCTGGTAGGGGATGCTGATGATGGGGAGGCTGGGGAGGGCAGGGGGTATATGGGAACTTTCTGCACTTGGAGCTCAATCTTGCTATGAACCTAAAATTGCTCTAGAAAATAAAGTTTATATTAAAAAAATAAGAGACTTAATTTTCCCGGTTGAAAATAAGGGAAGAGACTTCCCATCCCTCCTTTTTCTTTCTTTCTTTCTTTTTTTTTTTTTTAAGATTTTATTTATTTGACAGAGAGAGACACAGCGAGAGAGGGAACACAAGCAGGGGGAGCGGGAGAGGGAGAAGCAGGCTTCCCGCTGAGCAGAGAGCCCAACGCGGGCCTCGATTCCAGGACCCCGGGACCATGACCTGAGCCGAAGGCAGACGTCCAACGACTGAGCCATCCAGGCACTCCGCCATCCCTCCTTTTTCTTCTAGAATTTCTTTCTTGATTCTTCTTCTTTTTTTTTAAGATTTTATTTATTTATTTGACAGAGAGAGAGACCACAAGCAGGGGGAGCAAGAGAGGTAAAAGCAGATTCCCCGCTGAGCAGGGAGCCCGATGTGGGGCTCCATGAGGGGCTCAATGCGTGGTTGGATCCCAGGACTCCAGGATCATGACCTGAGCCACCCAGGTGCCCCTTCTTTTGTTCTTATTACATGTATGCACATCTTTTAATGGCTAAACAAGCTGCTTGCCAGGCTGAAAACTCAGGAACGTTTCCTCCAGGAGTTGGGAGCCACCTCTTTGAAAAAGGAATCATCAAGGAAGATATCTCTCCACCTCCTGGTTTCCTGCAAGGAGAGGACTGGCTTAGCTCCAGCTGTCACCTTACTTTGAATTGCAAAACCCATCTCGAAGCACAAAGATACAAGAAAATCAGCAATTTCTCTTAAGAACACATATGTTGCATCTGCCTGTCTAGATAAAAAGGCTGAGATTTCCTCGTCTTTTGAAATCTCTTTAGCGGATGGCCTGTGATGGACATCACATTCAGACTTAATGCTTATTTATTCAATAATACAACAGTTTTCTTCCTTTTCTACCTTTACGGACAGGCTTTTGGGGAGATTTTGTTTTTAATTACATTTCCCCAACAGGGCCCGTGTCGGGAGGCAAACGTTGGACTGGGTGGTTTGGCCAGTGTGGATGCCTGTGGGGGCAACAGCTGGGCCAGGGCCGCTGAGAGGCCTACCCTTGGACAGCCTCTCAGAACAGAGGCAAGTTCACCATGTACCCCAAGAACTGCGTGACCTCCTCTCCTGAGCCTGAAGCATCTCATCTGTGAAATGTGCTCAAAATTCTTCCCTGAAAGTGGAGAAACAATTCAGACTGTTCCCCACAGCATCCGCTGGGACCCACTGCCCTGCCCTCCGTGAAGCCCCCTGGGGTCACCCCCTGTGCAGATGAGCTCTGTCTCCTTTGATCTCAGAGCTGGCCCCCAGCCCCAGCTAAAGACCAGAGTCATTGTTTTATGTATACGCATCTCATCCCCCCAGCCTAATCCGGGGCTGCACATCTTGTGGGCTCAGTTTGACTCTGTTCACTTCACAATCTGTGAGCCTTTGTTGAGTGCCAAGTACTTCTGTGCCCTGAGAAAGTCTCATGCTGCAATGGGGCTGCCTGTTTCCCTAAACTCATCCTTGTCCAGGGTGGTTTGGGTACAGAGCACTGTGGACCACCAGCAAGTACTGCCGGGGCAGGGCAGGTAACACGGAAAGGGATGGAGGATGAGCACTGGGGTGGGGGTGGGGGGACAGCACTCGGGGAGCAAGAACACAGGAGGGGAAAAGGAAGGGGAGGACAACCTGGCACAGAGATGCCGGGGCGGGTGGGCCACCAGCGACTGGGTGCCGTTGGCGTGGAAAGTGTAAGGTGGGGCTGGGGGCTAAGACCAGAGCAGGAGGCGCTGGGGGGTGGGGGGGGGCGGTCAAGGGCTGTCTTCTTTGCTCCCAGGAGCTGGGTTCCATCCTTGGTCCAGAGAAAAACCTCCGTCACAGCTTGAGCGCGGGTGACCAGGTGAGAAAGGGAGGGGGCGGGAGGTCCGGGAGGGCTTGGTGCCCAAGGAGGGAAGGGGGAGGGGCGGCACTGCTGGAGAACCCCAAGGCAGAGGGGAAGCGGTGGGGCCCGGCGTGTGCGTGTGTGCGCGCACGTGTGTGCGTGTGTGTGCCCCTGACTCAGCAGGGACGGCGGGCGGCCGGGGCTCAGAGACAGAGGAGGCGGTGGGGCTGGCTGGGGGTTCGCGGGGCCGCCGTGACCCCGCAGGCACCCGACGGAGCCCGGGCAGGGGGCGGGGCGCGCATGGCGGGGCTGGCGGCGCCGGGGGTGTGGGGATGGCGGTGGGGGGGAGTGGAGTTCGGTCCCACGGACGGGGCGGGGCGGCCCCTTGCGGGCTTAGGGCGCCGGACCAGCACTAACGCGCCGGCCAGCAAATCTTTTGTCCCGGGCGGCGCTGAGCCAGCAGGGCTGCGGCCGGCTATATAGGGGCCGGCCGCGGGCGGGGCGGGCACACCATGGCGCAGCGCTCGGGAAAGGTGAGTGGGGCCCCTCCCGGCCCGGCCCGACGGTAACGGACGCCGCCCGCGCGCGGCCCGACACCCGCCGCCTTCCGCTGCTCCTCGTCCTCGGGAGGCAGGGGCCAAGCTGTTACTTGAGGCGCCCAAAGCATCCCAGAAACCTGAGCAAAACTGACAAAATTTGCTACCCAAACTGGGCGGCCTGGCCCCAGCAGAGGGCCTCTCTGGTGTGGGAGGCGGGACGGTCCCCGTCTCCCACGGCCCCCAGCACTGGCCCTGGGGGCGGTTTGAGAGATCTTGGAATCCGGTGGGCGACCGGAACCCCCTGAATCTCTCTGCGCCATCGACCAGACCTGTCTTGTGCGGGAAGGTGGCAAATTCGCATCTCCCCCACCCATTTTCTGCTCCCTCCCCTAGCTAATGAGGTGCAGCCTTTGGTCTCCAGGGGCTACGGTCAAGGTTAGAGGATGAGAACATTACTCAGTCTGCACAGGTTTGGTTAGGCTTCAATAACAAACAATCCCAAGAGCCCATCATGCCCCTGCACACCTTCCCCCCCCCGGGCCCCAGAGGGACCTGGAGAGCTGAGAAGTCACACCCTGGCTCTCATAGCTTCTGCCCAGGGGGCCCAGAAGGGTAGTCATCGGTGACAGGGCAAGTGATTACAGCAGTTACCAGCCCTCCGGGCACCATTATTCGTACTTTGCCAGGGCCTTTCTAGGAGCACAATTCTAGAAACCCAAAGAGTTATTGCGTGGTTGGAATTTCACGCTCCGTGGCAGAAAATGAACTTTGGGGCCGATAGTGTTGTGTAGTTTAGGGACGAGGAGAACCTGTCAGTGTTACATTGCCATAGGATGCTGTGAACTGACCACTGGTTTGGCAGTGTTCCAGCTCTGACACATGCCTGTCACCCAAAGGGGTGGCCCAGTAAACAAAGGGATGAGTTACATTGAAAAAGCCCCCTTTTTAGCCATTAATCCCCACACCAGGCCCTGACTTGGCTCTGTTGCATTTAGCCTCTCCCGCTAAGGGGCCCAGTCCCAGGAACCTGACTTTCTGGTAATTCAATGTTTGGTTATGATGGTGGGGTTGTGGGTGAAATGCTTTCTTCTAAAAACACTGCCTTGGATGTTATGATTTAACAATGAACAAAAACTGAGTTTTAAAAATGCAGTGGGACGGTGCCCCGGTGGCTCAGTCGGTTAAGCGACCACCTTCGGCTCAGGTCATGATCCCAGGGTTCTGGGATCGAGCCCCGCATCCGGCTCCCTGCTCAGCTGGGAGCCTGCTTCTCCCTCTGCCCCTCTCCCTGCCCATGCTTTCTCTCTCTCTCTCTCTGTCTCAAATAAATAAAATCTTTTTAAAAAATGCAATGGGAGTTTGAAAAGAGCCTGTTTTCAAATGGGCCCAGGGACTAGGGGGACTCCCTGTCCCCAAATATCTTCTGAAATTTGTCTGCTCAACTGTGAGCCCCCCGGGGTGGGGAGGGCCAGGCCCTGGGTCCGACCTCAGCCCCCCATCCATGCGTTCTGTCACCCAGCTAATGGTGTTGAGCACCTACTGTGCACAGCGGGCCTGGGAATCAGGGTTCAATCGAGGGTGTTGGACGCCAGGTGTCTGCTCCCAAAACTGAAAGAAGAGAAGCCCCTGACCCCGAGCCCTCTAACCTGACCTTTCTAGATCATCCTCTATGAGGGCAAGCACTTCACCGGGAGGAAGCTGGAGGTCTACGGGGACTGTGACAACTTCCAGGACCGAGGCTTTATGAATCGGGTGAACTCCATCCGTGTGGAGAGCGGCGCCTGGGTCTGCTTCGATCACCCCGACTTCCGGGGTCAGCAATTTATCCTGGAGCATGGAGACTACCCCGACTTCCTCCGCTGGAACGGTCACAATGACCACATGGGCTCCTGCCGCCCCATAGGAATGGTAAGTGGGCCTCTGGCTGGGGGCTTCCTGCCAGAGGGACCGAGGGTCGGTGCTGCTCGGACATGGGACCAATAATCTGGGAGCCGTCCCAACTTTAAGATCTGACGAGGCCATGGGATGTTTAAGAGGGAGAGATGACCCCATGCAGACCCGCCACTCCCCTGTGTGTGGGATGGCATGGGACCGAACCCGAGAGCCCCTGCAAGTTTTTATACCTACATTTAACGGCATGCGTCAAGCAACCACCTCCAGTGTCCGATCCCAACATCTTGCTGCATTTTCCACTTAAAATGCTGTTGGAAATAATAGAAGTTTGGATTTGCAACCAGATGGGGGAGAATTTAGCTAAAGCCAGGCTGATGTGGGCCCAGGGTATCCACCCATGCCGGTCATCTTCGAGTGCTTTTCAAGAGACTTTGATGCTCTGACCGTGGAATGACTGAAGGAGGAGGCCTAAGTCACTAGCCAGTCCTCGGGAGTTTGGGGGCAGGTCTTCTGGAGCCACACAAGCGGCCCGATGTGTGTAGGGAGAGCGTATGAGGGGTGTCGCTACCCAGGGTGAAGGACAGTTCGTGTCTAGTTGCCCTTACAGGGAGGGGCTGCTTTGAGGACCGAGTGTTCCTATTCCTTTGGATTCTCCCAAGTTAACACGTACCAGCTGAGCTGCTGGGAGGTCCACATGGTCAGGTGGGAAATGGCTGATTCCTGAACCAGATTCTCACCGGAGTCTCAGCCGTGTGTCTGTGGAAGGATCTTTCCCTGGACATGGGGGCCAGGCGGTGCTAGTGAACATCTGAGGAACCCCAGGGCGGGAGCCTCGTGTGTGGGGGGGGTGGGGGGCCTCTCTCTTTTCTACACGAGTTACAAAACCAGCTGGGCTTTGGCATCTCAGATTGTAAGACTGCTTTCTTAGTATTTCCACCAGGCCGTAGACATTTGGAAAAAGGAATTAACATGGCTGGCTCTGGATCTTGCATAATGCTATCTGTATGAAAACTCTCCTAGGTATTTTTTGAATGCTGTTCTCCTAAGAGCTATCCTTAGGGCCAACTGTGATGCAGACCCAGCCCCTGCCGGCACCAGAGCCAATTGGGAGCTGGCCCTCCTCTGTCTTTGGAAATGCAAGGAATCTTAGAAGGGGCTATATACTGTCATCCCAGTGAGCCAGCAGGGATTTCAGCAAATGAGATCTCTGTTATTTGTTTTAGATTTTTGGCTTCCTGTTTTAATAAAAGGTTCTATTACAGTTTGTAAAATATTATCATTTAAAGGCTTGCCCCCGGCCTGCGGCCCCAGGGTGGGGATGACGGGCAGAGGAATGCGTTGGGGTGGCTGGGGCAGGGGTCCCCCAGTCCAGGCGCTAGAAGGGAGCCCAGTGGCCCAGGCCCTGGTCAGAGCATGGCCAAAGTCTCCCAGGCGGTCTGGCCCTCTCTAACCCTTGGATTCTTGAGTTGAAGAAAGAGGAGAGTGGACTGGTTCAGGGGCTTGGAAGCTTTTTTAAAGTGATAGCGCCCTTTCGTCCAACCAGATCTCAAGGTGCCGGAAAACGCAGTGTGCCGTGCTGATGCTTGTGCTGGGGTGGCGGGCCCTCACTGGCCCCCCAGCGCAGGAGCTCTTGGGCGCCCAGAGCCCAGGGCGACTCTGAGTTCCTGGCCACACGGGCTTCTGTGTGGGGGAGGGGAACTCAGTGCCGTCCGCCATCTTTCCTCTGCTCCCATGGGGCCCGCAGCACGGGGAGAACTTCCGCCTGGAAATCTTTGAGGGCTGCAACTTCACCGGCCAGTGCCTGGAGTTCCGGGAAGACTGCCCCTTCCTGCAGAGTCAGGGCTGGTCCAAGAACTGTGTCAACGCCATCAAGGTGTACGGGGACGGAGCGTGAGTACAGGCCACAAGGCCGCGGACCACAGCCCAGCTGGGCCCTGCACAAGCCCAGTGTGGGGAGGCTGCAGGGTGGGTCAGACCCCAGCGGGGGGGGGGGGGGGGGGCAGCCTGGCCCCTGCCCTGGAGGCCCATTCCCTCCCTCAGCTGCCTCCTCTACCCCAGTGGAGCAAAGGAGGTGGCTTCCTCCATGGCTCAAGAAGGCCTCGGGAGGACACATGGGGCCACAGTAGGAGCAGAGGTAGGGAGGTACTTGGCAAACTAATGGTTCTCTATGATTGGACTGATCTCATGGACTGTCCTCTGGTCTACTCGAGCCAGGGGAGCCCTGCTCGGAGAAGGGTAGCCCTGCCCACCCTGCACACCCCTTACTTACCCAGCAAAATGGACCCTTGAATTGGACCTCTCCTGCCAAGCAGGCAGACCCCCAGCACGAAGGCCTCCCAGGGGGATTGACGTCATGGTGGCTCACTTCTGGTGGACAGGCTGTGGCCAGGGGGGTTTTGCCCAGGCATAGTGGGGCTTGTTTGCTCTCCTGCAAGAGAGTCGTCAGAACCCCGGGCTAGCCTGGCTTCTGTTGGCCCCTGCACACTTGGTTCCTTCCATCAGCCATAGGCAGCCTGTATACCTGTCAGGCTCAGCCACCATATCTTCATGGTGGCCATCTCCCATCTCCCATCCACCAAGCCAGTGGATAGCGTTACCTCCTTTTACAGAGGAGTTAGCTGAGGCTCAGAAAGTGACCTTGCCCCGCTTGTGAGTGGCGCAGCTGGGATGGCAGCCAGGCGTTTGGCTTCAAGTCAGTGTCCCTGGTCTAGAGCAGAGAGCCTCCTGAGACCTCAGCCCCATCCCGTCTGCAGAAGAGCCCCACTCGGGCTCTGGGAACATGGCTCCTGTCACAGCAGCTAAGGGATCCAGCTGCTGTCTGTGTGTCTGAGGTTTGGGATCAGGGAACACCTCAAGAGGTTCAAGACAGTGGTCACGAGAGAGACTGAATGAAGATAGTGGCTGAGCCAGAGGAAGAACTGGACCCCCCCCCCACCTTCCCTCGGGGCCCCCTGACCCAGCGTCCCAGGGCAACTCTGCTCCATTCCTGCTATCTCTGTCACTCTGGTTCAATCAGGATTCATCTTGTCACGTCTGCCTTTCTCTGCCTCTCGGAAACCCCGTTTGCCCTAAGTTGATGGTATCCGGGGATCTGAGGGATCAAATTCCAGAACAACAATCTGCTTGGAAAACTGCTGGTCAAATTGTGTCTCAGGAGGCCGAAGTCACGCCTTTGCATGGAAGGTGTCCTGAGACTCTCGCTGCCACCCCTACACCCACCCTGGGGGACCCCCGGGGTCTCTTGAGAAAAACAGTGGGAAGGTAGGAGCTAAGAGTTTCGACCACAGGGGCACAGGGTCTCCTGTAGGCCTCGATTTACCCAAGAGGAGATGGAGACTCAGCGGCTGCGTGTGGCCAACCCCCCCATTCGGACCCAGGGCTCTGCTCTCCTCCCCACAGAGCACTCACCTTTGGCCTCCTGTGACTTTAACTAGTTAAGAAAAAGAAAGAAAAAAGTAAGGAGAAGCTGCCCAGAGGTGATGGCCTGGATCACGTGGTCTGGTTGTGACCTCCTTCAGGGCCTTTCCTGGGGCCTGATGGGGGCCTCCAGGCAGGGCTTCCTACCGCCTCCCACATACCAGGAGTTTCTTTGTGCGGGTTCCCGAGTTAGCCCAGGATTGACCCGACCCGTCCCCACAGACCCATGTCTCGGAGGGTATTTGGAGGGAAATGTGCCACATCGTTCTCCTCACTTCCTGCCCCCCAAGGGCACAGCGCCTGCGCTCCTGTGGATGGGCCAGGCCCCCTCCCCCCTTCCTCCTCCCAGAGTCGCAGCCTCCGGAGGGGAGGTTTACTGAGGAGGCCCAGCCATGGGTGTGGGGAGGCTGGGGGCGGGGGAGGGGGCAGTTTGGGCACCGTGGCGGTCAGGGCGCGGGGAGGCTGCGGGATAAACCAGGTCGGCCCTGAGCAACCCTGCAGCGCACGCGCTGGGCCTCTGTCAGCACTCCTGACCCCTGACCCTTGTGCAGACCGCACCGGGCTCCAGATGCGGAGTCAGGCTGGAGAAGGGGGCCCGCGGTGACAGGAGAGGGGAGTGCTGGGGAAGCTGCCCTAAGCAGGCGACTCAGTGGGCTGTGTGGCCTTGGGCTGGACGGGCTCATAATTTCAGAGTCTGTGTCTCAGCGGGGGGACAGCTCCTTCGACAGCAGAGCACTTGGGGTGGGAGGGCCAGAACTGTTAGGGCCACAGTGGGGGGTCACTGCAAAGACAGAGTCAGAACACCCCATGGCCTGGGCCCGGAGGGACCCCAGCAGGCAGATCTGGGCGTGTAGCCCCGCTTTGCTTCCCATGGTGAAAAAGCCGTTTTCTCTCCATTGTGAGGGGAAAGGGGGCATCAGAAGTGAGGAGAGAGGCCGGCCCGAGGAAAGGCTGGGGGGACGAGTCGGGGGCAGCTGTGGGCCGCTCGCCCCCCACACCCCTCCCCCCCAGTTCAGGCTCCAGAGCCCAGCTGGGCCGGGAGAGGAGGGGAGGGGCTGTTGGCAGGTCTTCTCTCACCCGGCCTCCCTCTGACCCCAGGTGGGTCCTGTACGAGGAGCCCAACTACCGCGGCCGCATGTACCTGGTGGAGCGGGGTGACTTCCGTAACTGCTCCGACTGGGAGGCCCACAACGCGCGCATCCAGTCGCTCCGCAGAGTGGTCAACTACTTCTAGCCCGCCAGGACCCGGGCGTGCCTGGGGGTCGGGGGCAGCCCCTTCCGCCCCCCCATCCTAGGGCTCAGACCCTAGGGAATAAAAATCAGAGAAATGGAGAGCTGAGCTGGCCTGAGTGATTTCCCTGCCCCTCCCTGACACGGGGCAGCTGGTGGGGCACCCCGGGCCCCGGGCAGGAGGCTGCCAGAACTTGGGGCAGGGAGCTGGGGGGACGGGGAAGGACGGTGGGGGGCGCTGTGAGCCACCCACGGGGGAACACGAGAGCTGGAAGGGATCTAAAGGTTACAGAGTCGAACCCTTTCCCTTTACTCGTGAAAAGCCCATGCCCTGAATGGGGAAGGGCAGCTTCTGGTCCCAGAGCAAGCTTCCGGTGGAGCCAGGATAGGGCCCAGGCGCTTCCTCTGGCCCGGAGCCCCGGACCAGTTAGGCAGTTAGGGCGAAGGGGAAAGAAGTGCTGGGGGTGGGGGGAGGCCCCGGGGCCGGGGGGGGGGGGGGGGGCGGTCTGCCGCTGAGGCCGCCTCCACCGCTCCCTCCTGGCTGTGCCTCTCCCTGACTCAGCAACTTGGGGCTGCCAGGCCATGTGGTCTGCTCCGCAGCCAAGAGCCTGACCCAGGGTTCATGAGTCTGGCTCTCCGGCTGATCTTGGCCTTGGGGTTTACCAGGAAGGCCCCCCCTGAAAGGATGGGCTGGACCCGAGGGACACATTACCTCTTATATCCTGTGCTGGGGGCTTGGAAGATGCTCGAACACCTGGACTCGGAGGGAATGGAGGGGGAGACTTGGAAGGAGCCTTCAGGGGGCTGAAGGGAGTGTAGGGCGTCACTCCAGCCCCCAGCCTACTCATGAGGTGGGGAAGACCCAGGGGCTTGGCTCCCTTCTCCCCCCTGGGTGAATCCATGGAACTTCTTTGTGGCCTGGGCCCTTTCCAGGACACCGGGTCCACCCTGTTGGGGGTGGGCCCAATGGAGGGGGCACTGCCCCAGGGGTGGGGGGGCGGGGAGGAGCCTGTCCTGGAAGGTAGTGGGATTTCTGGGGATAAGAGGGTCCTCGCTCGAGACACCTCTCTGCCCACACGTCACTGTCCAGCCTCCCCTCCCCCATGAGAGAATGAGAACCTGCTGGGCGCTAGAAGTGGCCCAGGTAACTCCTTCCCCCTGCCTGAGGGTGCCCTGCTGCCAGAATCTTGAACCATGGAGCAGCCTGGGCTGACCCCGGCTGTTCAGATGGGGATGGAGATGCTCCCGCTCATAGGTCCTCTCCCGTGGGCTGGGCCCCTCGTGGAGGTGGGGACCCCAAAGATGGCTGTCTATGCCCCACAGCACCGGGACCGAGGCCCCTGGCTGGAAGAGGGATCGGGGACTGCAGCAGCATGAATTGTCCCCAAGAGTTCTGACCATTGGCTCAAGCTCGTGGCCCCGCTTTCCAAACCCCCACACTCTGTGATCCCGGGGTCCCCTGCCCCCCACAGTTTCCCTCCTGACTGGCCACGCAGGCTCCCACCCACTCCTCACCACAATCTTACGTGTTCTTTTCCCAGTAGGGGCAAGGATTCCCCACTGGGAAGGGCCCCTTCAGGCCGGCCACTCCCTCAGGACCCCTATGGGAAAGTACTTGAACCCTGGGATTAATTTGTAAACTGGAATTGAGCTGTGGACAGGCTGGGGGTGGTAGGGATGGAAGCTGGAGTTTAGGGAGGGAAACAGGGTCCGTGAAAGAAAGCCAGAAATCTCCGGGGTTGGGTTCTGAGTGAGGAACAGTGGGGTGGTCGTCCTGGTGGACTGTGAGGGTGCAGTTGCCCTGTGTCCTAGGTTCTGCCCCTACGCCCCGCGTCCTCCACTGAGACAGAAGTGGAAAAGGTGAGTCATCAGGAACTCTCACAGCTCACCCTGGGCAATGCCTGCCAAGATCTGGGTGGCAAAGGCATAGGGGACCCACGAGTCTGCTGGGGGACCCCTCTAAGCAGAGGTTACACCACTGGGCGACCCATCCACCTGCCCAGGACGGGGAGGGGACTGCCATTCCACCATTTGTACGTGGGGTCCGTGAGGGGTGCGCCCTGCACCCCAAATGCCCCAGCCCACTCCCTGCAGCCCAAAGAGTGGAACCACGGAAGCCCCTGGCACTGTGGGACTGAGGGCTGCCAGCTGCAGATCCTCTCCATCCAGACCCTCCCTCCTGAGAAGGCTCAGATCATGAACTTGAAGAAACCACCACAAACCGACAGCAAACCAGTTCACATCTCTAAGCCTGGATTGAATCAGCTTTTAAATACACTGTCGCCGCGTCTGAGTTGGGAAGAGCCTCTGTAGGACATCATGCTCTTGTTTTTTCATTTCTCTGCCAGTTTGTTCCAGGAGGTGGGACTTTCTGTGTGAAGACAGCCATGCTGGTCTCTGCTTGTGTGGGCCCTGCCCAAGGCTAGGACCCTGTCCCTGCTCAGCTGGCCCCTCAACCCTCCACCCAGGTCTGGACTGACCCCAAGCCTCTAGCGTCCCACACCCTTTTACCTGCTAACGGTGATGATGACCACTGAGCATTTACCGAGCTCTGTAAGGTTACTTATTATGTACGCTAATCCCGAGATTATAATACTCCTATCATCACCCCTGCAAATGAGGCAGTTTAAGCAACTTGCCTGAGGTCACACACAGGATTCAAACCCGGATCTGGCTGAGCTCTCTGCTCCCAACCAGCCTACTACACTGCTCCACACATTTGTGGGTTGAGGTGGATTTTACCGTCGTTAAGGTAAGCGTCACTCCACCCAGTAGCAACCACACACTCAAAGCGCCATCCCCTGCACTCATCCACACTCCCTGTGACCGGGCAGGAAGGGAAGCAGGGATCCTTACCCTGGAGCGGGGCATGTGGGGAGAAGCAGAACCGGCCCTCTGCACCCACGCTGTGAACCCGGAGCAAAGCTGCATAGGCAGACGGGCTGCATAACCAATACCACCACTGGGGGCTTCTAACCCTCTGGAGGCTGGAAGTCCAAGGTCAAGGTGCCGCAGGGAGGGTTTCAAGGGAGGCCTCTCTCCCTGGCTTGAGGACAGCTGCTTCCCCGTGCGTCTGTGTATGCGGACGCCAGTCACTTTGGATTGGGGTCCACCTGAACTACCTCATTTTAACTTAATTGCACCTTTAAAGATGCTGTCTCTAAATAGTCACATTCTGGGGTTCTGAGGGTTAGGACATAGGAATTTGAGGAGGCATACATTTCAGCCCCTAACACAAACCAAACAGCCTCAGGCCTCAGTGTCCTGCTCTGTGAAGTGAGTGCAAACCTATCTGTTGTTCCAACTGTATACAGTTGTAAAAACCAAGCAAGTAACCCATGAGAAGGTGCCGCATGAATACGGGTCCTTGGTAGAAACCCATGTGCGCAAAGTCACCCAGTATGTTGGGACACAGGGAGAAGCAAGTGTATCGAGTGGGAGCACTAAAACCCAGTACTCCCTCTGATGTGACCTCAGACAGGTCACTGCTCCATGCCTCAGTTTCCCCCGCTGTACAGTGGGGATAGCCACAGCACCCCCTCCTCGGGATTACATGAGAACTGCTGATTGAGGAAGGTCAAGTTCTCCAGAAGCCTGGCGGGGGCCGGGGGTGGGGGTGTGCTGGAGCCAGGCCTAGCAGCCTAGCAGCCCCTCCAGGCCTTCCGGAGGTTTCTCTTGAACTTGTCCCCTCTCCCCAGTGCTGAGGAATACCGGCACCTCATTAACGGGTGATTTAATGCTTCACCGAAAGGCTTGTGCTCCTGGGTGACCTCCCCTCACCGCCCCCTGCTCCCTAATCTGTCAGTAAATCTGCTTTCTCTATGGAAGAGGGAAAACAAGATTCCCACCAAAGTGCTTGTGGACAGGCTTGTAATTTGTCTGAAGTAGGTCCAGGGGGTTGGTAGACCGGGGGCCGGGGTGCCTTCTGAGGAGAGTCACACATGCTTCACATACCTCTGTCCCCACGCTGCGGTTTGGGAGGCCGGGACTTTCTCAGAGCAGCCACTGTTCCACAGGCCCAGTCAGACCCCAGGAAAAAAAACTTTCCCTTTGAAGACGCAGATGTTCCCTGCCTGCAGGGGGCTGGCCCAGGGGTGTCCTGTTGGAGCATTCCTCCGCCCCCTGCATGTGACCCAGCTGTCCCCTGTGTCCTTAGGGACTCACCACAGTCTCGGCTGAGGGCCTCCTGTCTCTGCCATTGCTCCACCAGGATGAGTCCCTTTAGACCCCGACAGATCTTTGTTCCCCTCCAGAAACCATATGGGGTTTCCATTAAAATCTGCGGAATGAGAGACTTTTCAAAACGTCGCTCTGGAGTTCCAGTGTGGGAAGATGGACGTGTTCCGGGGAGGATGGTGGCAATGGTTGCACAGCCGCGTGAACGTGCTCCGTGCCACGGGGCTGAACGCGGAGAAGTGGTTCGCGCCGGAAGGCTTAGGTTCTGTATGTCTTACCACCGCACACGCATGTCTAGCTCCTCGTTGCTGGGGTGCTGGTTTGGATAGGAAAGACCCTCCCCGGATTCCAGAGGGCCCTGGGGTGCCACCTGCCCGCACGGCCCCTGACCTGAAGAACCCGTCCCCTTGCTCTGGATCTCCTTTGGTTCTCCAGCGAACGCTGAGGGAGCGGAAAGTGCATGAGGCAGCGTTCCTTCCACAGAGTGGCTTGGGGTGCCGGGGTGAGACTGGGCTGCACCCCAACTTCCTGAGCCCCAGCCCCTGCTCAGCTGCACTGTTGTCTGGGGGCAGCCTGGCGACACAGGAGGGAGTGACTTGCACTGCAGTCTGTGAACCCTGGACGTGTAAAACGAGCATTTTTGTAAACAGGCTTTTAGCTCCCCTGCTGCCTGTGGCTAAGCCCTCTTTGGAATCAGTGATTGAAAACATCCCGAAGAGTCCAGCTGATGCTGCTCCTTGGCATGGGCTCCGTGTGAGGGGGGGGGGGGGCTCCCGGGGAAACCAGACCCCCCCCCTGCAGGGGGGGGGGGGGGGGGGGGGGGGGGAGGGGGGGGGGGGGGGGCCCCCGGGGGACCCCGCGCCCCCCCCCTGGGGCGGGGGGGGGGGGGGGGGGGCTGGCAGTCAGAGGTGAGCACCCTGCTCCTG